AAGATCAACTAAATGAAGATATAGATGAACTTCAGATAGAATCCTTAAGCGATCTTAAGGATGACATAAAAAGATTAGGTCTTTCGATAGAACACTTTCATGATTTCACAATTAAGGATAAACAAAAAAAAATCTTAGTTGAATCATTTAATTGCTATTTGGAGAAAGACCAAATAAATGCTAAAAACTTGGATATAGATAGTCTAAATATACACAAAATTTTAAACTAGGTTACCGAGCAACACAGTCCACTATATAATAATAACCTGGAGATAAATGATTTACAACAAAAAAATTTAGCAAATTTATTCAATTATCTTCAGTACTTCTTTAAAGAATTGCAGAATAAAAATAATCATAATGCTCAACTAAATGAAATTAGAATGCAAGCAGTTGACCTTGAATTATTCTATATTCATCAAAGGGATAGAATGATTGGTGATGAAATCTTTAGAAAAGCTATTAAGAAGAAAGAGGATTAGCATGAAGTAAACAAACATTGATTAATAATTTTTGCATTTTTTATAAAAAAAATATCAATGAACAAAGGTTAAAAATAGTTTGGGGTATTATTTTCATTTTTAAAAAAAAAAAAAAATTATTCATCACCAAAACTCGAACATTGAAATATTTATTTATATGTTGCAAAATCAAATTAACTAAATACTTTGTCTTAATTCTGTAGCTTGAGAGACATGTACTTATTTTCTACTACAATATGTTCCATTTCATCGAACATCAAAAATATTTGTGATCTGTGGAAACTATTATTTAGATTAAGGTTATATTTTTACTTTGGAATTTGCTGTTTATTTTTTGTGATAGCGATAAAATATTTTCGATCTAGTATACATTAATAATATAGGTCTCCAAGAGGAAGTTTTCATAAGTTTTTATAACTAATCGCAAATTTATGCAGATTTAGTTTCTTACTAACACCATTAACAAGGTTTTTTGACGGAGTATCTAATTGTTCATACTTGTCAAAAAACTGTGTTAAAGCCTCGTTAAAGTGCTAGTATAGTAAGAAACTAAATCTGCCTAAATTTGCGATTTGTTATGAAAATTTCCTCTTGGTGAATTATATTATTAATAATATACACTAGATCGAGAATATTTTGTCACTATTGCAAAAATGATTTTAGCAAAGTAACTCTTTCAAAATAAACTTTATAGCAACAATCTAAATATTTACAAGTCTGGTTAGATGACGAGGCTCAACCACTTTTCTACTTTAGAATTCTTTGGTACGAGATGATTGGAGCTAATAGTATTTGATAAGTTCATGAGATTTTTTTGTTAGTCAGAATTGTTGGTGAAATTTTCATAGCAATTCTCTCATAAGTTATTCAACATTAAACAATAGTTTTGAGCCATTATTTAGTCAATTCTTATTCATTTATTAATCATTCGTCTTTTAAATATTAATATTTATAAATAAAATTACAAACTCTATTTTCTTGTATCTAATGACGACCTGTTTTTTGAAATTAAAATTTATTAATAAAATACTTGTGTCATCATTATCAACTAACAAAGAACATGGCCGGAATAGTTAACAGTTACATGGTCAATGCTAAAGTGGATCCTATTTACCAACTTTCTAGACGCACACTTTTTAGTATTTTAATACAGAAAGATCCTCTCTAATACAGACAGGGCCAGTACTACAGGAACATCAATAACTGATAGAGGTAAATGTTCAACCAAATAGTTGGCCCGATGTGCTTTCAATTCTCTATCAGATTTAATTGCATCGATGTGGTAGTGTAACTTTGAATATACTAATAACTCGACAAGTAATTAATGAGAAAACTCACCCTGTATAGTTATTCTGATTTGTAAACGTTCTTGAATATCATAAATAGGATTAAATTCGAAAATGTTCTTGAATTTTGATTCACTTGTAAATATTATTCCATCATAAAAATTATAAAAACAAATATATTAACATTAAATATACTAACAGTATTAAGTCACATGATAACAAAAATAAATTAATCTCAATTGTTCTTATGTTTCACAAAGACAATGGTGCAAAATTTTTATTAAAAAAAAATTATATTTTTAATTCATGACTTCATATATTATACAAAAAAAATAAATTTGATATACGTACTTTATTATTATTATTTATGTTGCGCCACAAAGAACAAAGCGCCTCTGCGTGATAATGCACTTTGATTCATATAAACAAGAAGATTGTTCACGAGAATAAGTTATACAGAAACGAAAATTGAATATAAAGAGCTATAGCAGCCGCTGCTAAACCAGCTTAGCCAGCTGAGCCAGCCAATTAATATGATTGGCTGGCTAATACGGCTAAAAATCACATAATTTAAATAAAAATTTTACACATCATCTTTATTTAAAGTAAAACAAAAAAAACAAAAATTACAAAAACTAAATATTGTTTTACCAAAGGACAAATATCTTAAACAAATTAAAATTTTATACGATTTTCATCAGAAAAGATTGTTAAACTTATAATTAGATTCCTCAAATAGTCAAGTTTTTCATTTTAAATCATATAATAATTCATAACTAAGTAGATATAATTAATGCTTATCGGACTTTCAGATCTCAAGAAATTTAATTATATTTAAAAATATATTAAGAAAACTAATATATAAATTCTAAATCTATAGTCAGGTCTTCCATTTTTTCTATAAGTTTATGAACACGGAATTCAATTGTTCCTCTTTTAGCTGTTAATTTTGTTAAATTCTTGCGTAATTTGTTGTATCTTACACTCTCGAGTTTAAAAGTTACAATCGTTTTTTCTTCAGAATTTTGTAATATAACTGTAGCGACACTTGCTTTTATTTGTTTTTTTTTGATTTTATGAAAATATTTTTTTTATTAAGTTTGATTCTTGCAGTTATATCTCCCCTAATTAAAATACTAGAGATAAATCCATTTTTATTTCTATATATACAGGGAGGACAGTTTTATCTTTAGGCATTTTTAGTAAAGTTATAATATTGTATGAAAATTGAATCTTAGAGTTATAAGATTGTATGAAAATGAATCTTGAAAATGAATAGCAAGTTTTAATTTAAAAATATACTGATGATAAAAAGGGCTCTTTAAATATTTAAGATTGAACAGATTCTTCATTATTTATAATATAAAATATAAATAATAATGTTTTTTATATATTAGAATTGTCTAAAGAGTAGGACATATAATAGTCCCACTGTAAAAAAAATATATATACCGAAAACTGGAATTGAGAGTTTTTTATATTAGAATTATATAAATTGATATTATTTCTATAAAATATATAATCGGTGTTATAGAAAAAATTATATTATATTACTATATTGTTCTTATATTTCACGAAGATAATGGTGCCGAATTTATTATTAAAAAATATATTTTTAATTCATGACTTTATATTATACAAAAAAATAAATTCGGTATACTTTATTTTTATTATTTATATTGTA